ATCATGTCATTGTGCTTGTTTTCTTTTTGTTTTATTTTTGGTTGTTCTTCTTTTTTGCAGAAAGGAATTTATATGGCGAAATATACGTGGAATCAGGCAAAACAAATGATTACGTGGAGAACCTGCATTTTGTATTCCTGTCAGCGCCTATTCTCCTAAACAAAAACTTGCTCTTTGCCCCCGTCGAGAACAACGACAAATGTCCTATACTTTCACACCTAATCCGGGCGTCGTTAAATTGACGAATGAGGCACCCTTCGCGTCGAGAAAACAAATGGTTCCACGTCTATTTACCGAGTTCACGTGTCTCCTCCGAAACTGACTAACGAACAAACAAAACCATGTCTTCCGAAGAAGCTGGCACGGAATTCGATAAACAGCCCACTGTTTACCTATGCTTTTTTTTTTTTCGTGAGTGCTTCAGTGTAAGCTCTGCGCACACACTACTATTTTGGCAGGTCACATCTGTGCTGGTCTACTCAATTGGTGAACTAAATGTGATTCTTAACTTGTTCTTATTAGTGTTAAAATAAAGAGAAGTTGCACGAATGAATATACCAAGTGCTTCCAGTGTTATTTTGATGCCTTCTAGCATGCACAAATAATTAATGTAAGCTGTAATTTCTCACCGAATGGAGAACAGTTTGAACCTACATGACTGACTAACAATATTTTTCTTAGATTGCGTGTTTAATGGCGGTAGCTTTGTAGTTAATGTCATATTAACGTTTTAAAATGATAATAACACGTGCTCATATATCTAGCAAGGCATAACACACGGTGAATAAAGTGGAGAATAATATTGAAAAAAAATGCGAGCTTTACGAGGAATAGTCCAGAGCCCATAACAAAGGACTTGGCCAAGGAACCAGAGCGTCTGTTGCTTTATAGGTGTGCCTGGTGATTTGTTGTTTTTTGTGAAAAAATGTGTCAATGGCAACAGTCGTTTTCCCAGTTAGTTTTGTTTCAACGCATTATAACGTAACGTTGGTAGGCTTGTTAAATGACTAGTCACTAGGTGTTGCTATGTAAAAAAAAGATTATTAAATAACGTGAAGACTACGCACAAGAGAAGGTACCCATGGCACGAGCAAACTGAACAATGGAGCATTCGAAATAGCAGCAGCAGCAGCAGCAGCAGCAGTAGTAGCAGGAGTAGTAGTAGGTAGCCACCTCTACTTTACGAGCTGCTCGTTAGATGGCGACGTGGGGATATGGCCTTGGGAATAACAAGGAGTGAATGATAAGTGGGGCGAAGCATTCGTTCGTTCACCTGTCCGTCCATCCGTGCGCCCGTTGTTCTGTCTGTGAGTTCATCTGTTTGTCTGTCTGTTTCTCTGCCCATACGTGCGTCTGTGCTTCTGTCCGTCTATCTGTGAGTCCGGTCATGCATCCGTTCGTCCATGCTTCCGTCCATCCGTGCTTCCGTTTGTCCATGCGTCCATCCGTCTGTCTGTACGTCCATGCTTTTGCTCTTTCATCTGGATATCCATGCTTCCGTTCATCTGTCTGTCTGTGCGTCTGTCCGTGCGTCCCTCTGTCCATGCTTCCGTTCGTCAGTGCGTCCCTCCGTGCTTCCGTCTGTACCTCAATCCATCCGTGCATCCATCCAACTGTCGATTCGTTCGTGCGTTCATTATTCTGTCCATCCATGTGTACGTCCGTGCTTCTGTACATCAGTCTTCGAGCATCCGGCGTCTGTCTGTCCACCCGTCCTTCTGTCCATCAGTCCTTCCGTCTGTGAGTCCGTCTGTCTGTTCGTCCGTCTGTCCTCCTGTTGCCGTCTGTCCATCTGTGCATTTGTCCGTAACTTTATCCGTCAATCTGTACGTCCATGCTTCCGTCCGTCCGGACACACGGACGGGCGATTTACCCACTCATCATCATTCACTCCATGGATATGCTGTCATTTTTATTATCCTGTGTCTTTCTTTTATGGTGATTACCTTCATTCAAAGTCTGTTTTAGACCCCTCTCAGTTCCGGTTACAAAGGAGTATAGGCGAAATAAGGTCTCCTTTTCTAGCCACTACAGCGTTCTAGTGATTATGGTGCTCGAATGCTGACCCGAAGGCTGCGGAATCAAATCGCAGACGCGGGCTGCATTTAGATTGTGGATAACTGCTTGATACTCGCGGATTGGAATTTAAATTCACGTTGAAGAACTCTGTGTAGTAGAAATCTCCGGAGCCTTCCACTACTGCATCGCTGATATCATACTGTAGTTTAGAGACTGTAAAGGGGAACATTATTAAAAATTTCTCCTAAATGAACATGCCCATTTCTTTAGAATATATAAATGACTTCTATTTCCGTCTATTCTTCAATTCGTAGATATAAAATTCTTAATGCCAACTCAACTTGACTCTAGCTTGATTTCGAAAGCCTCTCTTTTACTAAATAGACTATAATGCAGCTATCGATTTGAAGACATTACAATCCCATGTGAAATTTAAAATATCACAGTGTCAACAGACGTTTTATAATGAAGTTCAACTCTTTGTTCCGTTCCCTGTCTTGTCCTTGCCTTACAAGATTGGAGCCCAGAAGTAAGCTTTGAATTCCGGGCAAAACGAAATTTTATTCTGGTGAATTGCGCAGTACACGTTAGCATGCTTAGCACAAGTTGGTAATTTGAAATCAAGGTTGCGTGCTAAAAGAATGAGAATTGAAGTTTTTTTGTGACTCGTGCTATCTAACTGTACGTGTCCGCCAAGTCTATGACGTTTTGAAGCATTTAAATCATCACAGAGTCGGTTGGAGCCCCGTACACGTGCACTGCCTAAGTGTGTACGAGAAAAATTTAGTGTTCACGCTCGACGAATCCTGACGGCGGTGGCGATGGAAGAGTTTACTTGACACTTTGCGCCTAGTTTCCCGATGGCTAATACTGCAGCCCTGAGAGCTGGCAATCCTCACCCTCATTGCAATATATAACACACCTCGTTATGAGACATTAACAACACACTACATGGGTAAAGAATGACCTTATCAAAGTTTGTAATGGCTGCTTCTGGCATTTTCCCTGAGGTATTGAAATGCAGACCGCTAGTACCAACGAAGGACACGGCTTTCAATCCCCGCAGTTTATTCAGGCATGCAACCAATGCCAGGTAATTCAAATTGAAATAAAAAACTCAATTAGTGAGCTCTTAGTCTAAACTTTTTGCATTACTGCCATCGTTACTGCTTTCCTCTGAGGGGCGATTTCTCTGTGAGAAATCCGGATATCTGTTTTCGTGACTCTAGTCGAAAGCTCCAAGAGAGAATAAACGACTTGCTTCAAATGCTGTGGCGTTTTTTTTTTTATTTACCTGCTACCTTTATTTAGACTTTGTCGGCTTTTCGTGCTTTTGTATGGCTGTAACACTGACGTTACTGGAAACTGCGAGACATATACACGAAATATATTTCACAGTATTCGGTGTTGCGCTTCTTATTCTGATCAGCGCCTTTCCTCTAGCACGGAAACTCGAATGAGTGTGGACGTTTTGTTAAGGTGATAAGAGGTAACCTAAACGAGGAGAATATAACATTCTTTCTGATACTTTCGAATCGGCTTGTTCGCCTATTAGACAAAAATAACGACTTCAATCAATAAAGATCAGCTTCTCCTGCTAAGCAGAACAAAAATACGGCAATCGACGGCAGAATAGACAAAGCCTTCCTCGAGGTGGTGTCCGTGGTCGGCCACATGATGTTTTCTTGCGAAGCAGTGCACGCAGGCAAAGCACAAAACGAGCGGAAAACACAGACTACCGCTGCTCTCCTGTTGGAGTTGTCTCCACGCGCTGCTTCTCAAATAAGCACGAACTATCAACGACTCCCCAAACTGTCTTCGTTACTGGTCGCTTGAGTTGCGCTTGTTAATTGGCACAGACGTATTGTGGAGGTATTCATGCGCATAGTTGACAGAGCTGCCAAATAAGCATTCTCAAATCTGTGTAACGGCACGACAATCAGTCTAGACACTGAAATATTCACAAATAACGTGTTTTATAGGCGAGAAGTGCAGACAGTGACGCATTGAAAATAATGTTGGCGTCACACAGTGCACTGCTCACCGCGGTCAAGCCCAATCACGATCAAATTACTAAACAATAATTGGGTCATCTCTACAGCCGGCATAAAGAAGCCAATCACATTGTGATCGATGTCAACGTGCGACATCAATTGAAAAGAGTGTTGAGCATGGTTTGCATAACTCAGTCCTTGAAATGACTTTCCAGGGGAACTTTGAGTTGGCACAAAAACTTTCCTGTCGTTGGAACTCACCTGCCATTTGCACATATCTATGACACGCCAAATTATAATATATTGGAATAATATTACAACGTAATACATTATGTTAAACAATATAGCTGTCCTTCACTCAACATAATAGTAGGTTTACTATCGGAATATGTAAAACATTGTCTTTGTATTGTGACAACCACTGGCTTGATATGGGAGTAATGAAATGATGCTTGCTGGCTGATTAATAATATGAAGGTAACTAAATGTTCCAAAAGATACTTTCTTGTGCGTTGACAACGTATAGGCTACGCTCCTCAGGTGAGTAATGATTTGATGAGTCTGCATTTCCCGCATATGGATTGTTTTAGGGTCACTTAACAATAGTTTCGTTTCATTCATTTTTGGTTCATTAAAGGTGCTGCACGCGTGCCATGTTTCTGTACCGTGTTTTTTTTTAAATTCTGACATACAAGCTCATTCGACTTTACAGTCAGCTTCATTCTGCTTACAATCCAATTTACAGTCTATTTTTAGAAAACCTCAGCTGTCATGCACATTACATGTATGAAGTGCAGAAGTAAGAGATTCATACTACATCCGTGCTTCAGCCGCCTGGTGTGTTCCTTGCCCTTTTCCCCAATTGACAGCCTGACATCAAGCTACTCAGCGCGCCTATTGTATTTGGCTGAACATGCATTGGTAATTTAGAGTGCGCAGGCAATAAGCAAGGTATACAGCACACGCCTTGCAAACATAGAAACTCACCTGCCAAAACAAGCACCACGAGCGGGTACAGAAGACACAGATGGTTCTTCATTGCCTGACTATTTTTCGAGGTGGTTGAGATTATCCCACGAAGCACAAGACGAAGAAGGTTAGTGCCACTGCTGTGTTCAAAACATGTCGGCGCATGTTTTGTATCTCATCTGAAGCGCAGGCACAGTATTTGCACAGTTGTCAGACGTTACTTCCCGGGTGGCCGACGGGGGGCGAATAATCTGTCAGCGACAAAATTGTGCGATGTCCCCAGCGCAGAGCAGCATCGTCGCATCAACAACCCATCACGAACCGAAAAGCGTGGCAGTGCCACTCGTCCCCAGTCGCGCTAGAGACCAAACTCCGGTCGAAGGAGATGAAAGAAACGGGCGACGCATCTTCGACCGTAGTCTGGCGCTCACTCGCGTTTGCCAGCCGGTCGCCGCTTCTTTTCAGAGCGGGCGAGGGGGCACGCGGTCTCGCGAGCGGTGCGTGACGTCACAACCTCGCAGAGAGGGCCTAGGTGCCCCCTCGCGGTCCGTATCCGAGCGCGAACCCTGCGCGACGTTTGCGGTTCCTCCCGGTCCCACCGAGCGATTTAGCCGGTAGGAGGAACAAACTAGCGCCGCTCAATACATCGTGCTTGACGACAGCCCCTGCTTACTGCTCGGCGTGAAAGTACACTTCGTGCCGCACGAAATTTTTAGGCTGGACGACTATTAATTACACCATTCTTATTGTTAACAGTTCGTGCTAATTTTTGGATTTTCAAGTACTGAATGCATTTTTCTACAATCCGAGTGGTAAGCTCTTCCCTCAAATCTCGGAAGAAGGAAGGAAGCAGAAAGGCAGAAGGCAAGGAGTGTTAACCAGAAAAACTGGATGTCGGTGCACCCATCATTGGAGCGAGAAAAAAAAATAAAGAAAGAAGAATATGCACTGAGTATGCTGAAGAATGCGAAAATGCACCACTAAGACCGAGGTGTTCGAGCTAGTGCTAACGGAGATGAAGTATGTTTTAGTGTTTGTTAAAAAAGCTGAGAACTTATCCAACCGTGAATTGCGATAATACCAGCACGTTTCAACATGCAGCCTAATATTGCGAAATGCAGCACCAAGGAAAAGTATTTTTGATTCGTTGCTGAGTAGAGCTAGGATAGAATGAGATCGAACATATGCTCGTTTCTAAATCTTCACGAACTCTCGTAATGTCATTTTCATTATATCTATGTTCAGCATATCTTTCTTGAAACTTTTGAGATTTAACGTTCTATTCTCTTTCTGACATTCAAGTCAGTTTTGATCAGCAAGATTGCAAAACGCAGCTGTTTCCATTTTTTTTTCTCAACAATTTGGTCTGCGTATTATAGATGAACTGTTTACGCTATTAGTCGCCCTCTTCTGTGGCATGTCGCGGTGGACGCACCATGAATGCTATATACACTGATATTTGCAGAAGCGTACTTACATATCCTCTGCACCATTCCGATGACCCGTTACTTTAGTGCTACGTCAGGCTAATCATTGGCGTCATCGAAAGTAATATATACAAACTCAAAATTTACCAGTTCCATATTCAGTTATATTGTATTCGATCAACTGCATTTTGAAGAATGTTGGCAATATAATTTCCGAACCACTTGGACGCACTCTGCAGGTGACTTGGTTTGATAATGCGTGGAGAGATTAGCACCCGTGGTTTTCATCTTTTATACCAACATGCATCTATCTGCGAGACTTTTTATACGAACATCCCCTTATGCGTGCAGCAGGGGAAGACATAAGCCACGTCACTGCTGCGGAATCATCTAGCTGGAACGTATGTGACTGAAACATACACACTAATCCACGTACCAGGCATAAATGGTCAGGTTTTGTTCAAAGTAAGCTCTTTGGAATGAGATGCACTTGTTTGATCAATATACTTCTATATATGTTCTAGCATAATAATTTTAGTCTATTTAGTGAAAGTCTACAACATGTCTTTCGCATAGGCAATTCTGGAAGCTTTGGCGTGGGTCGCCCAAACTATAACCCAAACGATAACTCCGAGGAATAGAAAGAGATTAGCCAACGCCAGCTGCCTCGAAACTCACCACTCCAATCTTCTTAGAAACGCTGTTACTAGCAGCTTAGTGCTTTCAAGTGAAGGGGAGAAGGTGGCTCACGGGAATGTTCTTATAATCCCTCTGCTAATCCATTAGTAATGTAGGCCGCCTGACTAGCGCCCGAAATAGCGATCCTCCAAGCTTAAGTAATGCGTTGACGAAGGATTTGCGTGGGCACGTATTTCCGTATACTTTTTGAAGCGAAAAATAAACTTAAGTCTCGGTGAAGGCAGGTGATACAATCAATCGTAGCGAAGATAAAATGTGTTTAACATCTAATAATTGGCGTATGCATAATTCTGCGCCGACAAGATCAAGCTCCTGTTTAAGTATTTAGGGAGTTAGCTGGCTCTTTGTTGGATGTTTATATAATAAGGGAGTCGAAAGAGTAGGACGGCCTTAATGGTAAAATAGCAGTTGAGGTCAGCAAGAGGTATTGTTTGAAGATATACAAAATATTTTAACCTTCGCTGGTTATAACGGAAAGATTTGCCAGGAGAAGAAAACCGGCCATTGCGTCCTCGAGCACAGTTGATGGCAGGTAATATTAGAATCTAATTTAAAAACCTTGTTTTTCATAACATGCTTTCATGACTGAGTCGCGAGTTTCATTGGGGTAGAATCAATAGTTTTGGTGATGTCTCGGCGCTCCACCAGGAGAACTGTGTTTTGTTGTCGCCGACGTGCAGCTCGATATAATGGAGAAGCAGATTGATTTTCCACAGAGGTTTTAATGTGTTTGTATTTTATGTAGGCTGGTAAGGAGTCAGCGATTATTTTATTCATAAAAAAGAAATTTTATGTGTCCCTGCTAATAGAGGTGCGCGCACGGTGGAGATCACAAAGAGGGGAGAAAGTGCTCCCCCCCAGTCATCTTAGAAGGAGACGGGAGTGTGAATTTCACCCCATATTTTGGCAAAGTTAGGGTAGGGAGAGCTCAAATAGGGCTTCGCCTAAGGTGTCTCGACGCGCAACTTTGCTTTCAGGGTGGCGAAACCTTTTGAAATATTTGCGCTACATGGCAGCCATATTGGTTCAAGAGTGTCGGAGAGCGCGGAACCTAGCCCATGACAGAACTTGTAGTACTTAATAAACAATTGTATCGGGCCAGTTTGTAAGGATCCATCTTGCTAGGAAGCACAGCCACTATTACACAGAACACGCAACTTAAGCGCTTGTGTTGCGTGTTCTGTATAATAGTGGCTGCGCTTTCTAGCAAGATTGTTGTTCTTGACGTATTAAGGTTCGTTCTCTGCTCGCTATGACAGGCGGCTGGGTGCCACTCTGTACTAGTTCACGCATGAAAGGCCAGCGAATGTATCGATTGCCTCGTAACAGCGAGCAAAGAAAAAAAATGGGCTGCACAAGTGAAACGCGATCGCTGGTATTTGACCAGCTGCACCAAGATATGCGAGGTTTTTGTTGAATTGTCCAGCACGTGGCCGTGCCTTTTTTAATCTCTGGCAGTGAGAATGCTGTGGAACAAATTCTCGCTTGTCTCGTTATAGCTGCATTCCATAACCAACCCGAAAAATGTAGCAGGCCGGTATGAGGTAACTGTCGACCTTTCCACCCCGTAAAACTGACTCAGCTCTGCCCGAGAACTGCTCGGGGATGGAGGTGAGCCGTCAAGAATGCGGCAAGAAACATGTCATGATGTACGGGAAATGTGCCAGAGGCATTGTTTATGAATTTCTCTTTTCTTGTGGCAACTCGTACATTGCGACTAGCAGGCACTGTATTAATGAACGGTTTAGGAAGCATGAATTAAATTTAATGAACGATGGCTTAGCGCATTTGCCTATGCATTGTAAAGCCTGCGAGTGTGTACCACGTTTTAACGAGTTTAGAATTCTATGTAGAAGTGGGTATAAAACTGCGCGCGAGTTTATAGAAGCCTATAACACTAAAAAGAAAGGTGAAAGTTGTATGAGCGAGCTGTCGGTGACGTTTTACGTATCTGAGAAGAGATTGTTTGATAGCTGAATAGCGTAAGGCTGTGTGAAGACTGCGCATGTTTGCATGTTGTCGCTTAAGTCTCGGTTAGCGCCCGGTCTACTTTAGTTGGAAGTGCCGCTTGTGCTTGTCGTTGAGTGTTTCCTTAAATTTGTGTGTGTTGTTTGCGGCCAAATCATGTTTATAAGCTTTACGGTATGCAGTGGGGAGTGAATAGATTCTTCGGCTACCTTGCCAATAAGCTTCGATAAGCTTGGTCAATGACAAGTCAATCATACTAATGCTAAATAAGCGCAGTTAAAACTTTCGATATGAAGACAGAATAATTTAATAGATAAGTCACAGTTTCGACACAAGGCCTATGAGCAATGTATGTGATAGCAACACATCGGGCTTTTATACAAAGTATGGCTAAAAGATTTAGTAACCATACGAATTAGTGAACACGGTCGATTGTGCTTCAATTTACACTTATTCAGTAACCACAATATGTAAACAAGTGCTGTGAATAGTTGACTGCTTGACGTCCCTCGGGAGATCGAAGTTGAAGTGCGGCATCAACGAAGGCGACAAGCAACTGCTTTTCATGTCGAAGAACACTAAGGTGTCTCCAGTGTCTATCAAAGGCATATCCTGCAGACATATGACACAAAAGTTGTGCAACAAAAACTTCATGACGTTAGCTCCCAAGGCTCCTGGAGAAATGTACACTGTTTCGACGACAACGCCGTGCTGTGTTTGAACAGCACAGGAGGAACCCCAACTCATCTTCGGCAGTGAGTTGACTTGGTCTGTCTTAAGTGGTAGTGACAATGCGCATTTTAATGGGAATCGAATTCACAAGCACGACAAGAGCAGCAACGTCGCGATTGATTCTTGACTTAACGCGACAATATTTCCTCTTGTTTCAGAGTGAAAGTTAAATCGTTTCAGAGTGAATCGTTTCAGAGTGAAAGTTAAAAAAGACGTTTTGGAATGCCTCTTTTATTCAACTGCATGTGCTTCGATAAACCAACCCCTCCATTCGTCAAGCCATCGGACACGTCGACATGTTCCTGTTAAGCGAATGCAGGTATGGCTTGTCGATACAAAGTACACGCTTCGTTGAAGAATGTTTTTTGGGTCAATTGACAGCAAGCAAGAGGCAAATGACTTATATACATTGCACGAGGTAAATGGCGTATATACATAACTCACTGTTAGTCAGATGGACAGTGTGAGCGGCGTGGCCTAGGTGGTTAATTGAGCACGATGACGAGCGAGGTTTCGCTGGTTCGAGTCCCAGGTGGATGCCTTAGGACATTTTTCTTTCCATACAATTTATCTATAAGCACATACATACTCTAGCGTTA